TAAATATGCTAATATTAGAAGTTTTGTTATGCCTATTGATAAAAATGATGATACTACACATTCATTTACAAAAGATTATTTCGGTATTAGTAAGAGAGGAGATACAACTGGATTCGTACACGGAACTTCATCAAGTAGAAAATTTATTAGAGATCAATTATGGTTACGTGGTGATCGTTTAATGAATAGTTATAAAATATCAAAACCATCATTACTATTATTTGCAGAAACACAATATGATACTATGTTATTAATATCACTTGTACAACAACAAATGATTCAACTTGATGGTTTAATACATTTTGCAACTTCAAATATGTTAAAAACAGATATACAAATGATTAAAATTAGAAAAGAATTTCGATCAGTTCATGATTTCATGATTGGTCGTGATTTTAATATAGATCCAACACCTATTACTGCTACAGCTGAAATTCATTATGGATTTGATATGGTTATGCAAGGTACACAAAGTACAGCAGTAATTATTCTAGGTTCTTCATCTACAATAAATATGTTTGCATTAGTATCAGCAGCATTCTTAAGAAATATTCCTATTATCAATATCTATATACAAGATAATATTGTGGATTTGAAAAGATCAGAAGCAATCATGACAATGTCTTCCTTTACTATTCGAACTTTTACTAATCAAACATTTAGTAACTTGCAATCTCAACAGTTAAATAATCTTCTAGTTCATCTTTATAAATAAAAAGAGTTGAATTGACACTCATGTCCTCGAATTAAACATCTACTCATTTTTTTCGCAATTTATTTTTTTATGAAATTTTGTTTGAAGTATAAAAGTAAAATGCATTCATTTTAGATATAAACGTTATTAGTTAATTTCCACTTGACTGGATTGTAAAAATGAATCAGGACTCAAATCAAACAAATATTGAAGAAGTCAAAAGATCTTATTTTAGTAGAAAAATCCAAATGGTGCTGTTGATAGTTATCTTAATCGTATATCATTTTATAATCCTTCTTAATTCTATGGATGTCCTAATACTTTACATTCATATGCCAAAAAATATATAAATTAATGAACAAATGTAAATATAACATGTGCGGATTCTATTTTAACTTGGTGTGCAGAGAATCAAATTGAATTATCAAAATGTTCTTGGACAATAGGAACATTTCGGAATCATTTTTATAGCATGGCAGCTTTAATCAGTCGTCCATATCCTGATTCAATGAATAATAATAGTGGACTAGCCTTCGTTCGATTAGGAGATGGAGAAACGAAACTTTTATTTGGACGTTTGATTAAGACTATTGACCAATGGTCAATGCCTCGTGGTCAATCAAAATTAGGGAAAGATTTAAGAAAAGTATTGCATTATCCGAAATATCAATATAATACATTTAGTCCATTTTATTATGGAATTTATGATACTAAAGGTATTTGTCCTTTTCATGAACTTCTGTCAACGATTTATCAGCATCCAAAATATTCAACATATGCAAATTTATTTGTCATTCTAATTATCGTTCTACGAAACTATTGCATCAATCACTTATTCGAGATTATCGAAAAAAGATCTTTCTAATAATTAACAATGAAACTAGCTCACAAAAGCTAACTGCACTGAATGCATGGACTTGTGAAATATCGCTCTATCCAAATAATGGACCTTTGTTGTGGGAAAATGATAATTTTAGAGAGCAAGCAACTGGGAAACTTGTTGACGCAGCAAAGCGATACAGAAATCGACTATTTCTATTTTCGATTGGTCCACTATCGAAAGTTTTCATTCATCATGCCTGGCTCGAAAATTCTTATAATCGTTACATTGATTTTGATTCTGCACTCGATCAAATGACAAAAAGTAGAGTAACTCGACCCTATCAATCGGATGCAGAACTCAACAATGATCCGTCGTATGTTATCAAATTTGATACGAATAAACGTGTATTCCAGGTGTCATCCGTAGACTAAAAATACATTCTATTTTGTTATTGTTTTTTGTTTCATCATATGTGGGGTGTGGGTGTGAATGTTCACTCTGCCTATCCTCTCTCACAACCGCACTGTTCCGATGGTTCCCTCACTAATCGGCACCCCCGAAACTGATGTCTAAATGATTTCTTTTAGTTTCTGATCCTTATAATTAAGAAGAAAGAGAAATTCAAGCAAAGTTATTATCTTTCATAATGAGTACCGTGCATGACCACCATTGTAAGGGTTTAATGGTTAACCTCTTACTGTCCTAGTGTTGCCAAATGGCAATATTTTGTCGTATAGGGGATGCGGCATATTTCAAATGATGGGCCAGAAAGAGATAAAAGGAAAGTGTGAATAAGTTCGATTGCTCTAAGGCATGTAGCATATTGCTTCACTAATTCTGTTGATTCCTTAGTCGCTGAAGCGCGTGGGTGGGTGGTTTTCTTTTACACTAAGCATCACTCACCCACTCCCACACCCTCAAGACATTCAAATGATAACTACACATCTATATTTTAGTTTAATACCATTACATAAGGATTTTCAACATCAAATACAATTCTATGAACTTGCAGCTAAATTATATAACGGGATGATCTTTAACGAATATTAATGAACTGAAAATATTTAGTATCAATATTTTCTTCAATTATTCATTTGTATCGCAACTTTTCGAAGGGTGTGAGTGTGAGTGTAAATCAATCTAAAATAGACTAGTCTAGTCTATCTCTTAATGAAAAGTCGAGTTCAATCTGCTATTCTCGACTCTTGCTTCTCAAGAGTCGCCTTTTATGTCAAATGAATTAAATGGAGGGTTTTAATTTCGCCGACACATTTCGTACTATTTATTTAAATAAAAACATTCATCGAGACTCTGCATTCTAGTACAGCAAACAGATTCTAAAAAATAAAGATAATTAGAAAAAAGTCGAACGGATGGTTGTGGATGAGTGATTAAAGGGTATAATACTCATACCCTATACTCACATCCATATCCTAAAGAAAAAAAGATATTTATAAAAAGTTCAAAAATGCCAAATACTAAAAGTAGAAAAGGAAACAGATCAAAGCATACTGTGCGATATCGAAGATCGATAATCCATAAAAGACCATAGCAACGTCGTTTTGTCATACGCAAAATATGTACTATCAAATTATCTCGACCAACATCGAGTACTCCCGCTATTAATGATATATAGCTTATACTATTTCTATTTTTTTCTTTGCACTAATTCATCACATACCTATGTTCTTCTTTTGCACACGCACATCCTGAGGGAGTGGGTGAGGATGAGATGAATATAACAGCCATATCCACGTACAGTAAAGAAATATAAGAAAATGAGTTTAGAATTATTCAAGTTCTTGTTTGCCATGAATAATCAGTAGCTAGAAGATACATGTGGGTGGATAAAATATGGACACAACACTCACACTCATCCTCAAGAGAAATTTTAACAAAGTACGGACCATCAAGATTAACTACTATTGTAAGACAGTCGACAAGAGATTCTCCTCTTCGTCTAACTGCTTGGCATTCTCATACGATGGATGAGTGGTTGTAGCTACGGGGGTTTGATTCATTAGACAACCGTACCCATCCTACAAGTTACAAGAACAATTTATAAATTAAATGACTTTATTGAACACAATAATAATAGAAGACTTGTAAACATATGATATTAAATAAGTAACTAAAAGAAAGTATATAAAAGAAAACAGAACAGAGCAATTCTATTCTCGTCGTATTAATAATGTTCATTTTGTCAATCGACAGTCGATATTGGAGAGCAGATGTCACGAGAGCAGTTGCCTCGGGTACATCTTTTATTGATTCTTTGATTCTATCGAAGCAATAACTATAAAAATTTATCTATTCATTTGTAGATCTTAATGTTTTTATTTGCAACGTCAACGTTATATTATCAACTTTGAATGATAACTTTGTTGGTGCGTAGTCAATGTGAATATCGAAAAACGTTTTCGAGCCCAGCGGCATCACATGCATCTCATACCTATACCCATACTCAAACAAAGATTGTACAGTTGAATAATAAATTATTACACTTATCTGCATGCAAGTTATGTGACTTCATGTTTCATTTATTTTTTAGTTCTAAATTGTTTGAGGGTGTTGGTCTTATACTCTTCTCGAGTGCAAACTCATACTCAAGATTTTTCTTTCGATTCGTGTTCATAGAATATTGGATTCATCAAACAAATGACTGGTATTACAACGAAAGTAATTGCTTTCGTATCGCTTGTGATTGTCCAGGTGGGTGTATCACTCATCTACAAATTTTCGCAAACGAATGGAAAATATTCATATTCAACTGTTTCTGCTATAACTCTGGCCGAAGTTATCAAATTTTGTATTAGCTTGAACCTGACTTTTTTCTTTGCGATTTCAACGTTGGAAACTCCGACCAACTCAACTTTCTGTAATAAATTAATTTCATGTCGACTTCTATTTCAGCAACAACTGAATCGAAAATTTCTTGCACACACATTGGTTCTTGCATTTCTTTACTGTATCAATAATCAAATAGCGTTTATTCTATTTCAATATATCGATATTGTCACAATTTCGTTATTTAAATCATTCACTTCATTCCAGTCAGCTATTCTCTTGTGGTGTTTCTTCCAACGCCCTATAAATCGTGTACAATGGAGTTCAATTATTTTACAAGTGATGGGTCTTATCATTGTTCAGTATGACGTATGTAAAAAGACGCCACTACTGGAAACAAAATTCTATGCTATTTTACTTGGAAGCTGTTTTATAACATCTATTTGTTCTGTATGGAATGAATATCTATTAAAGAATTATTCAGTAAATCTTCACATTCAAAATACCACATTATACTGGTTTGGTACTCTAATCAATCTAACAAGTTTCATCATTTTCTATAAACAAAATGAGAATTATTCCAAAGGTTTTTTTGAGGGATATTCCATACTTCCAGTTGCAGTTATATTTTGTAATTCAATATTAGGCCTTGTTGTAAGCGCTGTGTATAAATATGCAGATGCAATTATCAAGACGTTTAGTTCTGCATGTGCTACTGGAGTTTTGTTATTTTTCAATTGGTATTTTTTTGGTCTTCCAACGAATTTAATAATGGCTCTAGGTGCAGCGATCATATTTCTAGCGTCATACATTTATTTTTCCGCTACAACCAAAGCAGTCGTCGAATGTACTGACGATTCAACCTTACATAATCCACATACCAAACAAAATGTGGCGTCAACGAAAAAAATAAACCGATGTTCAACATTTCGTTTTTCATGCGCACGATTTTTAATAATATTATTGATTTCAATTTTATTAGTCGTCGTTATTCCGTTTTCTTCATTACGACAAGCACCTTCCTTCAGATCATATGCTCTTAATCATTTGAATCAATCAATTTCTACTAGAAAACCAGTGAATATCAATCTAACGCGAAAGTTTTTGAGTTATTGGGAACAAAACAATGTTGCTTTAGTGATACATTTTAATCGAAATCAATACCAGAGAATTGATTTTCTCACAATTTACCGTAAACTTTTTCCTATTGTTATCTTCACAGGTCCAGATCCACATTCAAAAGTTCTTCATTGTCCAGAAGGACGTTCAGGATTATATGCATATGTATGTCTCTCACGAGTCATCACGCTACATCCTAATTATACTGGCTATTTAATGTCTCATTTCGATGTATTACCTATTTTTCACAATCTTGAAAAAAAAGATTTGAATCGCATTTGGATACCATCGATAGCCCTTACCGATCCATCAAAAGCTAATAATTGGCATTGGCCAAAGCCAAGCGGAAAAAAAGCTTTTGATAGATTCTTTTCAACTCTTCGTAATTCCAGTCAAAATAATAGTTTATATTCAAACTATCTCGACAACTATATGAGAAATGCTGGAAAAAATCTCACGTCATCATTTTCTGATATATTTTATCTTCCGAAACGTTTCGTATCCGACTGGTTCGTTTTAACAGATTTAATGCTACAGAATCATCTATTTCTTGAGATCGGGTTTGCAGCTACTTCATTACTTATGACTTCGACGATTATTTCGAAAGAAATTATTCAGCTCGATGGTGAGAATTGGAACGGAAAAGATCCTATCAATAGGCTCTATGATAAAAACAATTTAGAATATTATCATCGTATTAGACATCAATCAAAATTACATCAGTATTTTGTGGAATCTATTGTTAGAAGATCTTTGATTAATTAAAATCCTCCTGACTATAACGATTCATCTATTCTAGATCTTGAGAGTGTTGTTGTGGGTTTAGATATCCCTAAAAGAACACCAACTCCAAATACTTTTCATTATTTATTTGATTATTTCTTCAGTTCTTCTAACGAGACGTTTTTCTTTTCATTAAATTTTAAAAAAATTCAATGAAAATCATTTCACACAAAGCCTTCATTAATTTGAAACCAGTCATTGGTTTGTTTTTTTTTTTGGTGAAAAAGAAGTAAGTTTTTTTGAGGATTCTCCACAAGAATATGTTATTTTTTCTTTATCACATGTAAGACATTGTATTTTGTTATTTACCATTGCCATCTCTTTGAATAATCTTCTTATCTAATTTTATAAATATAAACTTAATAACTCAATGATAATACAAACATTACTCAGTAGTAGAAGTAATCTAAAAAGAACCTTTTTATGAAAAAAATGTCACTAACAAAATTTATTTCTTATCTAAGATAGTTGGATTATAACTGGAAATTAATTTCTTTTTAATTTCAAATAAAAATAAAAAATATTTTTGTGATGTTTTTATAATGAAAGAATGTTATAATGTACGTTTGGATCTAGGTAAAGATTAGACATATATCTGTACCTACAACTATACTCTCTAAATGGCAGAAGGGTATAAAACTCATTCATTTGTTAAGAGTTTGAAACTTTTGTTCGAGTGGATGTGGGTGTATGTAGTGGGGTAAATATGAAACATCCACATCCGTCCACGCTCATACTCTTCATAGAAAATATACTCAATTCTTTCTTTTTGCATATCTCGGCACTTTTGCTCAATTTTATTGCAGAAAATAAGACAATATGAAAAGCACACAACAGGCAGACAGACAGACAAGAAGAAATGTGAGTGATGTTGCAAAGAATATAGCTTGAGTAATGTTAACATAGTTTCTTCTAATCTTTATCACTTAGTCTAACAGACACATCAATTATTGCATTCTGTAGTAAAACAGAATAGCAATCGTTTTCTGTGTTTCCACCATTCATTACCATTCAACATTTCGCTATTTCAATTGATGATCAACTACAGCGAGCTACAAGTAAGTATTGAATGTCTTTTTCCAAACATGATTATCAAAAGCAACAGTACATCGAGTGATTCATCACGAGAAGTAAACAAATAAATAATGTCCTTTGTATTTATTATAATTGTCATGTTATTGAAACTGAACGGATTGATTAGGGAGGAGTACGCTTTCGAATACGAATCAAAGATTGTTTAAACGCTTTCATATACAATTCTGAAGGAAACACAAAGATAAGAAAAATTAGCATCGGAGGAGTAAACGAAATGAAATAGGGTCCAAGGTACAACCACAGGTTCTCAGATGTTTTCACACAACCAGGTAGTAATGAAATGATGAGACGAGGTATTGATAAAACGAGTAAAACTATTGGACTAATGATCAATTGTTTATGTTCACGGAATTGTTCTTTAACATGTTCTTTAAAATTTTGGTTAGTTCGAGCCATTGATCGTTGTCGGGCACCTCCAAAGATGATAAACAATGCAGAAAAAAGATTGACAATAAACGGACCAACAAGATGAAAAAATAGAACGGTTGTATTGTAATCTTGAACAGAAGGAGAATATCGAGTGATGCATGATACATATCGCTTGGTTGTGTCTTCATTATTCTTACTCGTATCTATCGTTTCTGGTGCTGGTTCATATTCGAATAATCTACGAAATGCGAGTTCATGAATGAGTGTCCCAAGAATACAGAGTGGTAAAATAAGAATTGTTCGTCGAGCAATAGATTTGCTCTTTTTTTTATCAAATTTTACTCCTTTAAGAATAAGTACTGCTCGTTCAACTGCTACACAAGCATTAAGCCAACCATCTAAGTAGAGAAAAAGTTTTAAAATTGATTCAATAGATGCACAACCTCCACGAAGAACAGGTAGACTAGTGGATACATTGATATGAGTAAGAACAACAAACCAAAATTTAATTATGAACATAGTAATTGCCAAAAGAGAAGTAATCGATGATGCCAATAGATACATTCCACATCCAACTTGTTGAGAATCTTTATGTTGAAATGTAATAAAGGAAAGAATACTATTGATTAATCCTGCGACAAACATAACTATTGTTAAACCCGCACTTAATTTGATCGAAAATGATTGATTATTCAACACTTTATCGGATTGAAGTTCATCGCGTAAAATATCATCGAGTGTCAAACCAATTCCTTTGATGTAAAAGTTACATTGATCACCAATCACACAACTACTTTCTTTTGGACCTAAAATATCGAATATATTTCGCAAAGAGAATAATCAAGAAATTGAGTTTCAGTAATTTAGTTGTTTCTCAAATGAAAAGGTTTTCTAATGTCTCTAAATATGTGCATTTTTCACATAGAAATAATAACTTTTTCAATACTTCTTTCCGATTCTCAATTTCATTGATAAATTATTATAAACGACCTATTATTTCACTATTGATTTCTACAAGTAGAGAAACTATGGAAGAAACTGTTACTTTTGCGAGGTTTTGAGTTTTCTAAAACTCCATACACATAAAGATTTAAAAGGTTGTAGGTAGCAACATTCAAAATATGAAACATCTATTTGCAATTCATGCTAAACAGATGTCTTTTCTAACAGATCAATAGACCTAAAGATTCTGAAAACTATTTAATTCAATAACGAGATAGATCTTTCTTCAAAACCTAAACTAACAATTGCTGACTAATCAGAAAATATAATAAATCTTTTTTCACGTGTCGTATAGCATTATATATTTGTTATCGAAAAAATCATATAAATACTTACTGAAAGCACTAAGACTGACATTGTTCGGTCCAGAGATAAAAACAGAAAAGTTTCCAATTATCTTCGGTTTGTGTGTTGTCACAACTAATATGTATCGAGTGTTGATCTCGAGATCAATGATTAATTTGAATTGTCCATCATTACATTTACCGTCATGTGATAGGAGTAAATTTTCAGATGGTTTTAGAGGATTGAAATCATTTTTATAGATATATCCATATGTATTAATATTACTTTTACTCCAAAGAACATATAAACCAGTTGTATTAACATGAATTTGTAAAGTTTCATAATGACACTGTGGTACTTGACAATCTCGATAATATGTTGGACTATTATCAGTTAGTTTTGATGAATATATGAACTGAATATTTACTGGATTACCTATTGAATAAAAAAACAGAAATAGTTAGACAACGATTCGCCCATGAAACTATTATCTAACATCGACGAAAGCAAAATCTTTGAGATTTTCTATGAGCATTTAGTTATAAATACGTGTTGGTAAATGTGCCAAGCCCATACCCTCTAAGTGAGTTTTCTGGAACCAGTATGCTACAGAACTCTAAAAGTACTGAGATACAGCAAGACACTTTTTTGGCTTCTCAGCATTTAAGTGTCAAATATTTTTAAACATCTCATTGACTATTGTTTTTAGAGAATTTTTCATCCAATATTTGTGAAAACTGAGCAGTATTATCTACTACGATAGTGTTAGAAAAATACACGAGTAGATATCCTGCTGGAAAATGCCTTAATATTAGATAGCATAAGTTCAATACATTCTCTAGGTACAATAAAATTAAAAATGGAATTGAATTTAGAAGATAGACTACATTTTGTACGAATTATTTGATATATAACACAAATATCCATACACTTACTAAGAGGCTCGAGCATAACTTTGTTTTTACCCAACACAACAATCGAAAATTCTCCAGTTTCTTTTGATTCATATGTTGTCACAACCAATACATATATCATGTCACCATCAAGCTGAATAATAAGTTTGAACTGATTAATAGAATCGCTGTCGCTGTCATCGTCTGTTTTAAGCAAATTCTCTGACGGGTTAAGTGGATCAAATTTGTTTTTGTAAATAGATCCATATGAATCGACGCCACCACTACTACGAAAAGTGTAGTAACCAGCTTTGATCACCTTCACTTGAATGGATTCATAATAGAAATTTTGTTTGTCACATTCTCGGTAATAAATCTGATTGTTATAAGTCAATGAAGATGAATAGGTATTTTGGCGAATTGATAAAGTATTGACTAAAAGAGCAATAAAACCACTTTAAGCGTATCGTGAGTACACATAAGTGCAATTCTTTTTTAACAGGAGCTTTTGTTTACCTTGAATATACGTCCCTAACCTGTTCAACTGGTAATTTGTGCTCAAAAGGATAAAAAAACTGTTTCTCAATCAGAAAGTATTTGAATTTATTCTGTGATATTATATGTTTTTCGAGATTTTGAAAAGAGAAAACATCATGTAAATTGAACAATATCAAAAAGAATCTGATCAAAATCTTTGATCGACATACACAGGACAATGTTTGATTTTATACGAAACTTAACGATTCGAAACAAAATCTGACCAGCGAAAAGAGAGAGAAACTTCTAAATGATTGAATTTAACTGAAAACTTTTTCGCAATCAATCAATCAATCAATCAAATAAAACATAATATTGTTCACGTCCATCATATGGTTTCTACATGAAATCTAAGAAAACCTGTGTGTTCTTCTTTTAAAAACGACCAATATCTTAGACGTTTGTCTCTGATGAGATAGTTATCTTCACATTTTGAAGGTAAGAATGTTTAATAGGAGAATATCTATAGTCAATTACAATTTCTTATCTTAAATAACTTTACGTAATTTATATTGAAATTCTTCAAGCAATCAATTATTTCCTTCGCAATTTTATTTCTTTTCAATCAGAAAACTTTAATAGACAGTTTCTCCTTTTGATTTGCACTTCAGTTTTTTCTAACGAAAACTACGCAACTTTTCACTATTAACATTCACATCTCATCATCTTATCAGAATATATTCCAACTTACCACAAGATTTTTTCATATATTTAAATTTTTGAATTCGATGATTTGATGTATCAGTAACAAACATGTTTCCAGAACCATCGAAACTCAAACTAGATGGATTACCCAATTGATTAGATTGTAAACCTATTCCATAACATCCAAATAAACATCGAAAACCATTCAAGCCTAATACAACAATTCGATGATTATCCTGATCTGCAATGAATAAATATTTCCTAGCATCTAATATAATTCCACTTGGACAATCAAGTGTAATTGTTGGATTTA